TATTATTTTAGTTTTCTCTTAGGTGCACGGCATTACCCTACTTTCCTCTATCGTCTATAATTCAGAACGAACTACTGTATCGCTTCCTTTCTCTTACTTATTTTGATCAGGTCTGCCCTTAACTGAAAAAACTATGGTCAGCATTATAGCATTGACGTGATCAGACAAATCTATCAATTAAATGGATGTCCAATTAAAAGAAATAATCATGAAAGATCATAAAAGAAAACATTCCTAAAACTAATTAAAGAATATAGAAGAAAATTTAAAGAAATTATGAATATACAAAAATAATAAGAATTTAGACTTTAAAGTCTATAAAAAATCTTAATGTATAAAATCTAAAAGGCTAAGTCTTTATATAAGTATATAGGCAAAAATTTGAAATTTGCATGATAGCTGATCATAATTTTGTAGTATGAAATTTAAGATCAAATCAACAATGCCATGTTCAGGGAGATATTGGAAGTTTATCCCCTATCATTTGTCAAACAGAAAAATTATGTTGATAATACAATAATGAATCGCGTTCTATATTTATTTTGTACACCTTCAGTTTCTCCTGCGTCTATTTTGTTACCCCACATAAATATATTGTAAAAATTAATAAACTAACTCGTAAGTTATGAAAATAATGCAGTTTTAAAAATCTTGCAGACATTTTTAAAGTCTAAAGTCATTAACGACCATATCATTTCTCCAATAGCTATCAAACCATAACTTAATGTAATAATGGACCCACTTAAAATCATTTATTTTTTTAACAAATTTTGTTAATGAAATGAAACAACTTTTAAAAGGGAAAGCTAAAGACACCATTAAGATTGTATATAATTTATTCTAGTAAATTGATTTTGGATATAATAAAAATTCCGTAACTGCGACTTAAATCATTAAAATTATCAATGACTTAATACTGTATAATGTCTCTATTACTTTCTTGTTTTATTAAAATTGATTTATGTAATTGACACCAGATGGCGCTTTATGACAGAACGCGGTTGCCTATAATACAGCGCCACCTAGTGTCAATTAAATCTTTCTTGATTTTTTTAGATGTTTTTCCAGCTATAAAATTAGTTTAAAAGTTAATTAATTAATCCAAATTAATTATATTTAAAAATAAATTAAGTTTTTAAATTACTTACTCCTAGGATGTTATTTATTTAATTTTCGGAATATAATATAATACAGATTTCATTTTAAAAAATCGTTTTATTTTTCGCCTTGACATATCTTAGTGATAAAATGCGTGAAAAGATTTACATTAATTTTTTTTTAAAATAAAGAAAAAAATAATTAAAATTAATAATGTAAATTTAACAATTTTTTTTATCTTCAAGAAATCTTATGTTAAGTTGTTGACATGTAAAATTCAAATATTATACAATTGTAATTGATAAAGATACAAAATGCATTCATATATACAGGTTCGTGTCAGGAAAAACTGATATGTGATCTCATCTTTGAGCATCTACTTCTCTGTACTGATATGACCTAAAGAAGAGGAAAACATTTATTATTATTATTTAATATAAATTATGTTAATAATTTTCTTAAAATATAATAAATTTGTTTGTTAACATTATAACTATTCACAATAAGATTTGGTCATAAAAATTTTTGTCATCAAATTTCGTTGTTCAGTTGCTATACGATGCTTTGTCACTAGAGATTAAAAGAACTAAAATTTCTAATTTAATTTGCAATAAAATGTTACATAAATGACAAAAATATTTCTTTAAAAAGTTTGGTATATGCTAAACAAACACATATTTAGAAAGATCATTTTCCATCGTGACAGCATCTTATAGGGACTGCTTTAATACAGACTCTAAGTTAAACTCTTGCTCACATACCGTGAGTTACACAAAGGTGTAAAAACGTTAACACTTGAAACAAGTTCTTATTTTAAATTTATGCAAATGTAAAAGTTTCATCAAAATATAGGCATAAATTAAAGACATTATTTGTTTTTAGATGAAGAAAACAAAAATATTAATTCTTCTAAAATAATTTTTTATTTTTAAGATATTATAAATTTCTTAAATTGCTCTTTAATTTAATAAAACAGATGAACTCGGTATTAAATACAGATATATATCAATACATTTTAATAATTAAATATATCATCAGTAATTTGCTTATATACGTATAAAATAAAGACAGGAAATGTGATTTATACAATAACACATAGCCATTTCCGTTAAGTAATCAAGCTATAATTCGTTAAATTATCTAAACTTTCTTCACATATAAATTCTCTCCATATTTTTTGAATTTATAATTTGCTTATTTTGCTGATTTTTTTTTCTTTCCGATAATATTAAAAATAATTTTAATGTAACTGATGCACGATTAGAACAGGTATAAGCAAACGAGCCTGCATAATGAAATAATGAATAAAAGAAAAATAAACGCGAAATAATGTTAAACCCATACAAAGAAATAACAATTTTTACATTTTACACAATACATTTTAACAATACAACAAGACTTTTATCTAGCGCTTGACCAGAAAATGGCGTTATATTATCATGTCACACTCTCTGGACCAATCATATATAGCGATTGTCGAGAAAAGCCTATGGAAAATCGTTTTAAGTTTAGGACTTTTATCTAGATGTAAAAACAACGAATAAAATGATGTTTCTCCTCAACCGCATCACTACACAAAAAATAATGTATAAAGTACCGATTCAACAGTGCCAAGAAGTGAGCTAGTATAATATACAAAAAATCATACTTGTACAATTTCTGGCTAAATAAATGGAGTTTGGAAAAATTTCTGGTCACCTGAATGAAATTATGAAAAAATTGACATACAGAACTGTTATTAGACAGAATGCTAAAAAAGTTTAATACATATTATAAGAATAAACAAAAAGTAATGCACATAATACTATAATACCTTTCAATATATAGAAATTCAAACTTTCATACAGGATAAGGTATTAACAGTAAATACATAAATACTAGAGTATTCAAATATAGGATACAAGTACAGTGAATACGAGCCATTTGCAGTAGGGTTCATTCAAGTACTGTACAATACAGTAATAAACGGAACTGTTTAATACCCGTAGACGGAATCAGTATGTTTATAAAATGGCAGTAACGGTTTTATTTAAATTCTGTATTTTAACAAGAAAATTCAGAAAAAAGTTAATAAACAGAAGTCATTATATATGCAGAAATGTCCAAGCGTTGGAAAAGTGTTAAAATTAACTGGCTTTTACATCAAATTTATCTATATTTTTCTTTGTTGAACGTTGCAAGTGACGTATCAATGATATACGCTGATTAACAGTTATATTTTTTACAAAATACAAACAAAGATTTTGTATAAAATTATCGTACTTGTATAATTGTCTTTCTTCGTACTAAATTCTGGAGATAAATTTAAATTTTTGAATGTTTATAAAGACTATTTTATTTAAATGTCGCTGAACTCAGCAAATTGTTGCAGAACTAGAGTAACAAAGCTTAATTCCACTTAAAGTGCTTTAAACAATACGTTGAGTTTAGAGACGTTGAATTTTTCTATTCTATTGGCCACGTAAAGGATGATAAATATCACTTTAGGACGCTCCTATCTTGGCTAATTAAGTGAGCCACTAAGATGGAGTTTCATTTATATTAAAACTCATGCAATTTTACAAGAGAATTTTAGAGGTGACCAAAAAGTGAGATTTTATTGTAATTGTTTTCAAAGAGTTAAACAGTTTTTATTAGAATTTTTCAACGTATAAGATATTCTGATAAACTTTCTATTATTTTCTTACTTTATAGTTTACGTCATATTAAATAATTATAGACCATACATTGTTTTGCATTAAAAAATTATTTTTGTAAAATCAATTTATAGTAAATATATTGATGAATATATATATATATTAATATTATATTAACTATATCAACAATTTTTCTGATAATATAAATAAAGAACAGTGTCTAAGAAGTGGCATAAATTTAATTTACATTACCATATCCGAACAAGAAATATCGGAAATATTGATCTTTCTTTAATAAACTGCAAGGAAAAGTCGAGATTCTGTATTGTACTACTTCTAACCAATTCCAGATTTCCAGATCTGAAGCTATTTATTTTCTATACCATTCTTTAGATATAAGAATAACTGTAATTTATCTACAGCAAGGTATCTGTAGATGTAAGAATAGCTGGCTACCTTGATTAATGCTGCAATATATATAATAGATATAAAGATATATCTGAAGTATCTAGAAGAAGTACTTGAATTTTTGTAATGCGATATGATAAAACCAACAAATATGAATATATTTTTCTAATATTAATGTTTACAATTTATATTTTTAAGTAAAACAATTATGAAAATATCATTTTAGTTAAAGAACTGTATAAACAATTAAATAGAGAATGTATTGAGAATGATATATAAAATACTTTTCACACAAAAATATTAATTATTTGAATTCGGTGAATATTTACCAGACTGTAACTGGGATATACTTGTGTTTCAGAAAAAAACTTTTGCCTGCGATTTAAACTTTTGTAAATTCCAAAAACATGTATTATTTAATATAATTGAATTGTAAAAGATTTGCAATTTACATGAAATTAAATTTACTTATGAATTTCTCAAATTATCACAATTTAGTTAACTGTCAACAACTTGACATTACTTTGTTTTAATATTTAATAGTAAACTGAATCAATACAGTTAACACAAGATATGTTTATTAATTTTAATATAAATATATAATTTCCAGATGTAAATAGATAAACTTTATACTATTTTTATAAGTTACCATCACTTCTGTACAGGTGATTGATTGACTAACGCAAGCCACCAACATACTGTAATCAATTACACTCATTATGGATGGTCTGACCCACAATGAGATCAATCAACATCACACGGGAACAAGACAATTGTATGTAAAATTTAAATATATTTACTCATATTCTTTTGAGAAAAGGTGTAAGTTATTTATTTCAAATTCATAATTACCTTTAGTTCTTCGGACACGATGGTAGTACACAATATTTGCGTTCGACCTTTGGCCCACACGGCACACCACCATGTTTAGCCGGTTTTTTAATTTGACGCATTCTTTGTTGTATGCTATTTTCTCCACACGTTTTAGTACATGCCGACCATTCTCCCCAAGGACTCATCATACAATTAACCGCTAGAATTAATTTTTAATTAGAAAACATTGTATTTAGTCATCTCTTACTCATACAAAGTTCCACTTACAACACGGAGGATTAGCTTTACACTTCTTGACCTTCACTAATTTTCTAGGACACGGCTTGCCACCATTTTTTGAATTAATTTTAATCATTCTTCTTTTTTCTTTTTTTCCTTTACCACAACTTCGTGAACAAGGGCTCCATTCTGACCACGGAGTCACCACGCAATTGACAGCACCATCCTCTGTTTTGTTCGAGGCAGGCAAAGGAGCTGTAGCTAATGTTGCTGAGGGGATGGGAAGTGCTAAGATAATAAGTATTATTACTTACAATTTTAAGAATTTTATATAATTTAACCATTCAACCTACCTTTCATTAGCATAGCACATGTTTGAGTACAATCAGCGTAACGTTCAAACCTGTTCCTATTTCCTCGACAACCTCCGTATATGAACTGTATACAATCTCTTTTAGTAAAGTCATAATACCATCTTGCAAAATAACCTCTACAGGGTCCTACTTCTTTCGGTTGCATACAAATTTCTGAAATATTAGGATAATAAATTTAAATGATTCTTAATTTATGCTTTATAAATAATGCTTTATTTTATAGTTTAACTATCTCAACGTTATATTCCGGTTCTGGTACTTGATAAAAATTCGAACCTACGCCTTTCAATAACGTATAGAAAGACATAGATTCGGATCATATGTGATTTAAAGCATATATATCTTGACTTCTTTCTTGAAGTAGACATGATGTGGGTACTTGGGTTTATACTTTAGATTTAATTTATTTATGAATAATTATTTTTAATAAATAATTTAGTATAAAAATTAATAATTTAAACTTATTTTATTTTTAGATTTTATTTAAAAAAATCGATAAAAGTTCGAATTTAACATGCATAATTTAATACAACCTTATGATACTGTTATATTATTCAACAGATTTTGAAAGTTATAAATTTTCTTTAATAGTAAAACTTTTGAAAATAAAAATTAAGATATATTTTTTATTATTTATTTATTTATTTTATTTATTTAGTTGCTAAAATATGTGTAATAAAAATAAAATTATTTTCTTCTAATTCAGTTTACTTCTAGATTTGATATATTTAAGCTACACAGCTTTATACAAATTTTTTTCATTTTTTGAAAATATTTCATATTTTGTCATATTAGATTTATTTTTATTTTTATTATTATTAGATTTAATATATTTAATATTATTAGACTCATAATTATATTAGAAGTCACGTTCCTAGAGATATCATTTCAACAAGTTTTCGATTCATTCTAATGATGCTCCTCGAAAGTTTTATTTAAAAAAAAATTATATATATAAATAGGTTATATATGTATATAAATTAAATTAGGAACACTCGTTCGAAACTAAGACATAAACGTTTTCTATATTTAAAAATAAAATATTTTATTATACAGAAGTATTTTAAATTTAATTTGCCTGAGATCTTAAAAATAACAAAAAAAATTGGACGGAAGATACAACACTTATTCGAAGTTTTAAAACAAAATTTATATAATAAATTGAATATTTTTCGATTTAAGAACATAAAAATTGAATTTTTAAATAAAAATTTGAAATTTTTTAGCTTAAAATATTATAACTACTGCTAAAACTCAAGGAGTAGAATAGAAAGTAACGACGCAATTAAAATGGTATAATTAATAGCTTTAACAATAATTAAATGATTGTAGAATAAGAAAATATAATGCAATAATTTTTATGATAGTTTATACCAATAAAAATTTATAAATTAATAATTTGATTAAAATTTAATTCATATTTATTGATGAAAATTGAGTTAAGATACTTTCATTGATCATCACGATGATTTAGAATTTAATCTATAGATATAAATTATAGAATTTTTAATAATGGTGCAATGAATGTTGAGATTGCACGAACGGGGAAGAAGAAAATTCTAAATTTATATGAAATTATGATAAATTAGGTTATAAGATATTTGATAATTCTACAGAAAATGATTCTACATATTTTACATATATTTTGTCATTTTTATTATACTTTTTACCATTCTATTATATTACTTTATAGATATATTGTAGCACAATAATCCTGCATTAAAGCCAAAAAACAGATCCGTAAAGTATTGAAGTGGACTTAAACTATCAATACTTGAATAACCATGAAGATAATTAGTTAGCATAATTGTATTAATTTTTTGCATAACATACTGAAAATGATATAGAATGCTCAAAGCTTTTAAATTAAATTTTTGTGTAAACAGTTTAAATGGTTCATTCTCTAGAGAGTTACTTCTCTTCTAACTTATTTACATAAAGTAATCCAGAGAATTATTCACTATTAGCAAAATAAAAAAAAAGTCAGGGGTTAGGATAAATTAATTCAATAAATCTAAAAAAAAACAAACTAAATTTAGCTTTTAACTTTAATTGTTGAAAATTATGGAACCACGCTAAATTAGCTGCTATTAAACGTTTCCAAAAACAAAAAAAAAATAAAAAGTAAAAATGAATTTCTTCACCAAAGTTAACGTCTCCTCTTAAATTACTTGGTCGATTTTTCCAATTTATTTATTGTGAAATCTTTAACTAGTTATATGATTCGCTAATATCAATTTATCATCCTTATAAAAACTTTCTTACGTTGAAATTTTGCAAATAAACATCTAAAAGTACAAATTTTTGAAATAAAATTTCATAAATTTATGTAATGTTCTAACGTAAAGACGTGATTGAATTTTTTAGATGCCAATTGAATTTTTATTAATACTAGCAATTTTTTTTAATTCGTCTTATTAGTAAAATTAGTCTAAAAGTTCCCATTTATTCGAATAGTTACTTTCAAAAACTTTTTATTTTAATGAGATTATACTTTGCAATATATTTGAGAATCTCCGAATCCAACATCAAACTCTTTTAGATAAATTTTTTAAAAGTTAATATATCTTATTTACAAGATAAATTTACATTTTTTCTTACCCAACATTTATTAGAAATATAAAAAGGAAACAAAAAATCAACTATAATTTCTTCTACTCTTCTTTAAAATTATGAATGAGGACATAATTTTCAATTGCAAATATCATGTCAAAACATTATTCTACTTCATAAATTACTTTAAAAGTAGATTTTTATAATTGCTCGTAAATTTAAATTTTTATATATTTACACATTTCTTAATTAAAATTGATTAACAATCAATATATTTTATCACCAACTATGATAGACCCTTAGAGATAAATCGTGAAGAAATACCAGAGAGAATGAGCAATCAGGCCCCTATGACAGGGATGATTGTTCATCTTCAGATAAAAACGAATGAATAATCTGGTATTTTTTATTATAGTGAGGCCTCAAAAAGGATCTCAAAGACCCCTCTAAAAGGCCTTTTAGCATTCAGATTCGCAAAATAATAAATGAAACCATTTCTTTGTCATTAATGATAATTAAAATGTGAACAGTTCTTCGTATTCTTCACATATTAAATGAAATATGCAAATGAAATATGCAAAGTTAGTAATTAAAGTAAATGCAATAATCACAATTATCACAAATTAATTGCCAATTATCAATCATTCGGCGAGGAATGAAAGTTCATCATTTCGTAATTAAACGAAAGATTCTTAAGCAATAGAATGAAAGATAATTATCATTTTCTTAGTTATTTATTTAATTTTAAGATGTTTTAAAAATTAAATTCTGTATTATAAATGATAAGTGAAGAATTAAAGAAAATAATTTGATGATTAATCCTAGTAGAATTTATTCTTTTCTGTCGATGTGTTTAAATATTTGTACAGTTTAAATATTTATGAAGGATAACTAATAAAATTAGTTATTGATTTTATGATAATTGAGATTTAATTAAATAATTAATAAAGTAAGAGTAAATTAGGCTTAATTAAAGATGTTAATTTTATTGTTTCTATGTGATAAGTATATCGATTTCATATCTTTGTTTATTTAGGATATTTATTGTTTAAGAATTAATTAATTTATAACTCCGAAAGCTAATGATTTATGATTACATCTCATATGTTTAAATAGCAACTTTTATTGGAGAAGAACTTTTGCTTCTATATCTTCTACAATTTAGTTTTGATTTTAACTAAAATCTAAATTTAATGCTCCAAGCATATGAATTATTAGTTCCAATAATTCTTTTTTATTCAAAAAGAAATAAATTATCTTCAGATGACGCAAATACAAATCTTGTTCCACTTCTCGTCCAAATAAAAGGGAAAGAAGGGCAATAGCGCACAGTTTTTGCTATAATGATGTATTATACAAAAACAATAATTCTATTTGAAAATACTGTTGTCAAAATAAGTTCTTTAATCATTCTAGATTCTAGAAACCATTAAAACAAGATTATTTGGAGCGAAATTAATATAAAAGCGATTTTTGAAAGCAATGAACATTTGCAATCTTGCCCCATCTTAGAGGCCAGATTATGCAGTGAATTCAAATTTTGCATTTAAATTTTGCTTTAAAATTCTTAAATAGTACTAAAACATCAGAAAATGGCATTGAACAGAAACAGATACAATCAAACACATGCCGTTTGCACACTATAGGTACTGTACGTTCATAATACATTTAATTCAGTGGTTTCCAAACTTTCTGTACCTCCGCTTCTTTTTTTTCAGAAAAAATATTGTCAATTTTCGTAACAATCTAATTTTGTTAATACTATCTTTATAATTTATTTAATGGCCTATAAAACACTATGCCTTATTAAATAAAGTATATTGTTCGCCGGAGCTCGACTCTTGTCGAGACTTTTCGGAAAGAGTGTGAATGGACTTTTAGTATTCGTATCCGAGTCGTTCAGACGAGGGTTATGAATTAAGCATAGCCATTTCGATGATTCATTTTTTCCACATCAATTTATTTATTTTGTTTGTTTGTTTGTAAAAGCTGCACGCTCCTTTACAATAGTCTCGCGCCCTATAGATTAGAAAACACTGGTTTAATCCATGCATTAATTTGTTTTCTATTTCAATACTGTTCTCAATAAACGAAAACATATAACATTGTAAAATAACATCAAATAACATAAAATTTTTTAACTTGCAATTTTTTTCGAATTCAGTTTGTTACCGAAGTTGAAATCATATACTTTTTATTGGCGATAACTACTGTTCACATGACCAACTATTACTAGAAACGTTTTAATTTCTGAATAAATGAGTTAAGAGTTCTTACCCCGTTTTCCCTTACGAAATTTCAAGTTTTATTCTTAAAAATTAGTGTTGCTAGTGGAAAAAATTGCTACTGAAATATGATTTTTATGATGCTATTTTGTAATTATTCACATAATTCATCAGTGATTTTAAATGCAAGTATAGAAGATGCATTTTAGATTCGTCTAATAAGTAGCAAGTACAGTAGAGCCTCGATTATCCGACCCCCTATCAACCGACCCCCTCGGTTAACCGACCGTCCTAGTCGGCAAATTTCAAATGTCCGCTATTGATGTGGCGCTACAATATTTGGCTATGTCTTGGCTACTTTAATATTATTTTTACGTGTTTTACCTGGCAACACTGGATCGACCATGAAAGGGAGCCAGTATTTAAACGAGGCTTAACTTTCTAATTTTAACGATACAATAGTGATGATTATTATTTTTAAAAATTTTTGTTAGGATTAACATCGATGAAAATTTAACGCAAAGTAGGTTAATAGCGATATACTAATATACTAATTACATGGGATATAATAATATACTACACTAATAATAGATTTTTTCATACTTTTCGGTTATCCGCCCTTTCAATTATCCGACCAACCCCAATCCCCAATTAGGTCGGATAATCCAGGCTCTACTGTAGTTAATTAAGCAAGCCGATGACGTGTTTATTTGATATGCAACTGACTCTTTTATTGGCTTAGTTGCTTGTTACATGCATACACGACTTGATAAGTTGATTCTTTATGATGTTGCAATCCATAAATTAAAATATGTCATTCATTTTATTTATTAAGAAGTTATTATAAAATTCTCTGATAAAGTCCTAACTGCTTTACTTTGATTAAAATAACAGGTTGAACTTTTTGTATTTTATTTTTACTCAGTGAATATCAGTGAATATGCAATTTATATGCGTTGAATCATCTGTTTCTAGATTAAAGTCAATAATCATAATTAAAGAATGGAAAAGTACATATTTATGAATTAAATTTTGATTCGTTAATAATGTATGCCTCATGACAACTTTATTTTAATTCTTAATTAAAATTAGATATGTCATTATTGTAATTAACATTTATACCTTTTGCTTCAATGGCTTCGATGGTACAATCTGTTCTTCCAGACATACAGACCATTTTTTGAATTAATTCAACGTTACAAGAAGCGAGTGCTGTCGAATCGAAGTATAAACGAGTTCTAACTTTCATACCTTTACCACAAGTTACTGTACACGGGGACCATTCGGACCATTGTGTAACAGCACATTGGGCATCAATCTATTAATTTAAAAAATTAATTGAAATAGTAATTTAATACTTTAAATATTTTAAAATGTGTACTCGTAATTACTTACAATTTCTTTATTTTCACATTCAGAATCGGTCATGCAAACTTCCTTCTCGACTAAACTCAAAGTACAACTTTTACGTGACATAGAATTGACATATCTACGATTTCTCATGCGAAAACCCTTACCACACGTCACACTACATTCAGTCCATTCGCTCCAGTTCGTTGTTTCGCAACTGAAACCTCTGGAAACAAAAATTGCAAATATTCAAATTAAATTTGTAAATGTTAAAACAATTTAATAGATTATCTTAATATTATGTTAATATTTTACCCAGAACATTCCACTTCACACAATTCTTTTTCTACTATTTGTGTTTTGCATCCCATCATTTGGGCTTTCTTTTCCATCAAAAAAGATCTATTCCTCATCCTTATGCCTTCCCCACACGTTACACTACAAGGTGTAAATTCACTCCATTCTGACACTCGACATTCAGCTATAATATTTTATGTAAATTTTATTCATCATTATCAATTAAAAGTGCTATTTTCTTCAACAGGATACTTACGTCGATCACTTTCGTGCTCGGGTTCTTCAGGAGGTAAAGAAAAGGTATCTGTATCTTTGCATGATTTTTCATAAACTCTTTCTCTAGTAACAATTAATTTAGCAAGGGGCTTCATAGGAGTACCAGAAGGGTCATAAAATGGTGATAATTCGTCATTTGGATACGATGAAGTAATCCTACGAATCTTTTCTTGAGGAACAGTTGGAGAGTTCGGTGACTGCAAATAATTTATACTAATTTATTCGTAAAATTCCTTAAATAATGTAATTATTTCTCTAAATATATAGATTTAACGCTTGAACTCGATAAAATTAATTAAAAGTCGTCCTAGTTCTAATGCAAAGCACAAGAAAATGCTTACGCTCATTCACGAATTAAAGATAAATATTTCAAAAATAATTATTTTCATTAAATTAATTATATATTTATAAATACTAATAAATTATCAATTGAGTTCAAAGTTTTAATTATGCAATTAATTAAATTACTTATGAACAATTATTATTATTAATGATTTTTTAGAATAATTTGAACACAATTCATGAAATAATTTGATCTAACAAATTCTTATAAAAACTTTAAATAAATTTTTAAAAACTAAATTTAAACGTTTACATTTTTATATTTATAACCTAATAAATTTGAATTTTAAACCGAATTAAAAAGAGAAAAAAACTGTATTGATTTTATGCATGAATATATTTATAGTGATATATATTAAAATAGTATAGCATTAGTTTCTACGTTTGAAATTTTTCATAAAGTCAACTTTCAAGATCTATATCAAGTGACTTCTACTGGTTTTACAAGAGAATTATCGACAGAATGGCTTCGGATCGAATGCTCCAACTGAATTTCTAACGTTTTTTGATCGATTTCTGGCTTCCATTTCAGTTTTCAAATATCAAAAAGATATGGTGACAGCTTCTAAAAAAACCAAACATTCGAAAGGAAAGTAATCTAACATCTTTCCAGTTAGAACCATTATTTTTTTATATATAAATTATTTGATGAAATTCAAATCAATACGTCTAGTTTCTTCAACTATTTTATTCTTCAACACACCATTTTCGAGTTAAACTCATAAAACATTTATGCGTTTACTATTTTAACTTCGATCCTTTTTCCAGTATTTTTTCCTTGAATTTTATAGAATAAAATCTTATAAATTTTATTAAAGTTTTTGTATTAAATTCAACTTTATACTTACAATATATGATATGCCATTATCGGTTCCAGCATCCCACGGATAAAGATTAATTATTTTTTCATTAACCCAAGAACAATTCTTTAGACACAATTCTAAAGCACTAACTCCAACAATCCAATCTGGACTTGGTCCTAACATACTAATCAATGACATGAGATGTTTCTTCTTGTCGACTCTAAAAACAGCAAACGTCTTTCCATTGACATTCGGGTACCAAAGGCCCTTTGCTTTAATAATTGTCCGGATTTTATCTTTCTAAAAAATACAAAACTTAATTATTTAAAGTGTCTATATTAAATTCTATGAATGACTTATTCAAAATCTAAAACTTAAATTAACGTTTTTAGAAATAAACTGATGCTAGTACAATAGCTTAATGTCAGGGCCGGAAAGTATATTATGATTTGTAAGTCAAAGGACTGAAAAGTTAACCTCAAAAATTATTGTAGACTGAAAAACAATATCATTTAAGATGAGGTTACTAAGACAGGGCTTATCTATCATATGCGTAAATCCGACGTATGATTAATTAAAATTATATATGATTAATGCATACAAACCTCCGCATTGAGTTCAGATTCTAACTTTTTAGTTGCACCCCATTCTGCAACTTGACGCACACCTTCAGAAGCATAATTTCCCTGTTCCCATAAACGGAAATCGGAGGTATGAGATGCACCGACAATATCAGAGAAATGGGTAAGCCATTCATCTACACAATCATAAATCTATTATTGTTGTTGAATCATTGAGAATTAAGCTATGTATTGTCTTAAAAATTGAAAATATGGGATCTTTCTCACTATTTACTTGTTGGGAAGTCTTTGGGATGTGTAAACTTTGACCATAGACCTTCAAAGGTTACTTCATACTTGGCTTCATCACAAGCGCAACATTCTTCAATAATTTCTGGTTGTTCCGTTTCTGTGCGAAGCAAATATTTGAAAAAATATAATTTCTAAATAAATGATTTTATTAAAAAAACAAATATTCTTAAACATTTCTTTAAAAAAATCCAGTTGAAACCATTAAAAAATTACGAAAAAATGGATGAAATTAAATAAAATTCATACTATAAATGTATTTAATTAATGCGATAATATTTATTAAAGTTTTCTATTTAAAATATTGATTTTTTTAAAGAATATTAATTTAATTATTTTAATTTTATTCATTTAAATTATTGCGTGGAAAATTTCTTTACAATTAAACGTTTTGATTATTATCTTTTTTCGTTTAAATTTTTCTAAAAGTTTATTTTATTTCTTCTCAAGAATTCGCACGCAAATAAAAAAAAATTCAATTAAATTATTTAAACATTTTTATTCTAATCTTTTTACTTTCAAATGTACAGTAAATTAGTGAAGTGAAATAAATAAAAATGGTTTACAAATTTATTTTTTATATTAAACACTTTTAAATAAAATCTACAAAAAAATCAAAGTTATTTATTTACTTTTTTTTTATAATTTTATTTATTTATTAATTATAAAATTATTTATATATTTACCTTCTTCGCATAATTCTTTTGATAAACCTCCATCATCCATATACCATAATTCCCGATGTTCAATGACAGTTGCTCTAAAATTTATCATTAAGAATGTTACAAAATGTAAAAAATTTCAAAATAATTTCCAAATCTTTTATTAAAATTTAATCAATAAATTTATTTGATTTTATATATACCAGTTTTCGATGCTCAAATGACAGTTACTGTAAAAATTAATTACAAATTTCTTTAAAATCTAAAAAATTCAAAAAATCTTCACAGATTTTATTACAGTTTAATTATTGGTAATAATTTTATTATATATTTTATATAAAATTTAATTTCTATACGAGTATATTGTAGCTCTGGAGATTTAACGAAAATAACTGCTCTAAAAACATTCATTAAAAAATGTCATAAAATCTTGAAAAATTTCATAAATTTCATTAAATTTAATAAATAAATTTGGTTTAATTTTAAGATAAAATTTAAATTTAAAAAGTCAATATTTAGACGTTAATAATTCTTTTAAAAATATTCATGGCTCTAAAACATCCCCAGAAAAAAATTCAGAAATTTTTTAATGTAAATTCTTTAAAATTACTTTTAAATTTTCTCGACAGATGGGGACAGTTTATAATTTTTTAATACATTTTATAACATTTTATTAAATTTTTTCGAATAAAAAGTTCAGAAATTTGAATTTTTAAAAAAATTTTTAATGTAAAAAGTAAAATATTTGATATGATTTATGCTGTAATTTTGATGATGAATGAAAGAGTAAACGAGCCTTGGAGCAAAAATCATTATCATAAGTGCATCCAAAGAATTAATTTAACGATACTCGTTTATTATTATTATTAATGAGAAAGAATTGTGCTATTTTTTATGTTTTAAAAGTGATTTTTAAACATAATTTAATAATAATTTATATAAAATAAATTGGAATTTTAATTCGATATTTATTTAAATTAACATAATTAATAAAATTAATGAATAATTTTAATTAATGATTAATGATTTTATCAAGTAATAACATCAAAATTGTTATCCTTCAATTGGTAGATTGCGAATCCTTGCAGAGTGGAGTAAATAATATTATTACTACTGTTTAGAAAAAAAAGGTTGAGAAGATATATTAAAATTATTTAAATTTAATTTTTGTTCAGTTCATAGATATTTAATAATCGAAGAAACTTTTAAAGTTGAAAAAAATTATATTTTTCGCTTTAAAATGTTAAAACAAAATTAGTACTCTATCTTATATTGAAACATTGTTTTTGAGTGATTTTCTATAAATATCTTCATATTGAAGACAAAAAATTCTTTCGATAATTAAATAAAAACTTTTAACTAAAACCCAAAATATTCGATTTTTAGCCTAAAAAAATAAGGTTCAACATTGTTTAACTCCTCAAATTTTGTATTTTTGAATAAATTTCTTTGATTGTCTTTCTGGCGATGAAGTTTTTTTGATAATTAAATAAAAAGAATTTTCTACAGGAATTCAAAAAATTTCGATTAAAATTTAAATTTTATAACAAATTGTTCAGTAACTAAATTCCTTTGAAAATTATGTACACGAGAAGAATTAATTTTTCGATTTTTGACATTAAATTAATCACCAATGACACAAATAATGCGCATTGGTGATTAATTTAACATTAACATTAAGGTTAGTGCTGAAATGATTATTAAATTTTATGGAAAATAATATAATTAGTAGCATTCAGAAATTTAATCTCACCTAAACACTATGCATCCGGTTCCTGCCATTGGTGCCGCCCATAAAACTTGAATTTCGGATTTAGGAATGGATGAAGTGTGAACGACCGCGTTTGGACAATCTTCCGAAATTTTCGAAAGAGCATCGCCCAGTAACTGAAATAAAAAATATGAGATTAATTATTGTTAATCCAATGAGGATTCAATAAAACTTTAATGCTATAAGGATATGAAGAATATACTATAAAATTTTAATGAAGATGCAATGAAGATTTAAGGCTGATATGAAAATTCAAAAAACAAAAAAATTATAAGAAGATTCAAAAAGATTCTGTGAGGATGCAAAAATATTACAGTATAAAGATTCAAAAACGATTCTAATAGATATTTAAAGGCGTTACTAAAAGGACACTAAGATAATTCAACGAAGATGTCACAATAACTTTTCGTGTATCATTTAGCCTTTTTTTTTTAACTCGAGCTACGTTAAATTTGTACAATTTTCTATATAAAATGTAAAAATTATATATGAATAATTAAATTAATAATAAAAACTTGAATTTTACTTGGTGTATTATATCGGTTTTGATTTATCTTGTTGATCATTCTCTTTCATATACATAATCTTATAAGACAAAACAATTACCAAGCAAATATAATTTGGAATTTGTAAATAAATCATTTTATATTTATTTCTTGAAGTAATTTTTAGTTATTTGCCATTTATATCCATTCAAAGTACACACGAAGCACTTATATGAAAGATACGTTCCATTTAACTCGCAAGTCATCTTGACCCATTATGTATAATTACATATCACTATACAATAAAATATTTTAATATTGCTTTGTTTCTATTAATTTGTTTGAAAATATTGAGGAATTTTCTATTTTTTAAAGTTTATCCGTATATAAATTTAAAATAAATTAAATTGCTCAATGGAGCGGATCGGCTGACATTTTCTTCTACTTTACAAAATAATTTAATTAGATATAGTCTGGTAAAACTCAATTTTATATGACTTAATTCTTATATCATATTTTCAAAAAACAAATTTAAAAGAAAACTGTAAAAGATAAATTTAGAAAATGAAAAAATTCAAAAAAATTGCTTTTGACATTCTCGTATTAAAGCAACTTAAGTTTATTTTAATTTTCAAGTTAACTTTTAATGTTTGTCTTATAAAATATCATGATAAATTCTTGCAAATATATTTTTTTTAACTCAAAGAATAAGTAAAATAAATGATGCAATAAGCGAGTCAACGTTTGTGTCAAAATAAGCGAGTACAATAAGTGAGTCAAGACAAATTCCTGCTAATGTCTTATAAAAAAAAAAAAAAACTCAAAAAAGTTCAAAAATTCATGAATATTGATTAAACTTTTTTATTAGTTTCAATGGCAGTTTTTGAATAATTTATTTAAAAAATAAATACAATAAAACAACGGCAATTCCTTGTAAAAAAATAACAGAGAAAGGGGGACAATTAAGCAACAAAGAACGTCAACTCATTGTTTCACGAATATTAAAAAAAACTCATTAAATCAAACTCAAAAGATGAATAAAGTGGAAAATTTTTGCAAAAAAACTGATATTATCTAACTTGATTTTTCTTAGAATTATCGAATCGATCGATAAAAAACTTTTAATTTTATCATTTATCATTTTAAATAATTAAAATTTGAATAAAGATCTAATAAATGATCATTTTATTTTAAAAAATACCAGTTTTATCGAGAATTAAAATTTGATATTTACAAATTAAGTTAAAATTGCTAAAAAAAAATTCTAAAAATACTTTAAAATTTCATGTTTTTTATACTAAAGTATAATATAATATAACAAATTTAATGTTAACTAGCTTAATTTTAATATAATTTATTTCTTTAATTTATTATTTGAATAATTTTTAAAAAAATAAAATGAAATTGCGAATTAATTAGAAAATTTTTCATTAATATTCTATATAATATTTTATTTGTAAAGCCACAAAGTATGTTAATTTTTATGTTTATATAATACAGGGAATACTCAATATTTCTTTATAGAATGCTATAAAGGATGAAAAATTATAGTGAGTACTCTATAGAGTTCAGTGCTATAATAAATAAAATAAAGAGAATATATATAATATATAGAGAGAAACATGCTACATTCCTCTTTTTAAAACAGAGAACTGACATCTATAAAGTACTCTTTACATATAAGGAATATAAATAATTAATATAGAGTGTACTCCACATTACTACATAAAGTAATAGAAAATTTATGAATATAAAGTATTTGATTACACATTAATATTATAGGGAGTATTCTAAAGATTACCATCTAATATATGAGAGATAATCTATTGTAGAGAGAATAGAGAACTGACATCTATAAAGTACTCTTTACATATAAGGAATATAAATAATTAATATAGAGTGTACTCCACATTACTACATAAAGTAATAGAAAATTTATGAATATAAAGTATTTGATTACACATTAATATTATAGGGAGTATTCTAAAGATTACCATCTAATATATGAGAGATAATCTATTGTAGAGAGAATAGAGAATATATCTATAGTATAATCTCTTTTATAATACAGGAAATGTAAGATAGGAGACCATTATGGCAAAACAAATTTGGACTATTAATTTGACCAATTCCAATATTTTTTTCAAGAAATGGTTAAGCTATCGCCTAGACTGTAAGTGGTAGCTTAGTCATTTCTTTGAAAAAAAATTGGAATTAGTCAAACTAATAATCCAAACTTGATGGATCATAATGACTTCTCTATTTTACTATATAATAGAGAAAATGCTTGTGGTATATTTTCTAAAACAGAGTATATATAGAGAATATAAGAAATTAACAAAAGACTACTGTATATTGACTGTTTACCTTTAATTACTTTGATTAATTACGTTATATATATATATATATATATATAATTTTTTGTTTATAAAACTGATATAATTAATTTGATAAAAGTTTCTTTCTTTGGCTCAGATTGCTGAGAAAGAGAACGTCAATAATGTTTAACCTATATATTGACTTTGTACAAAGTTCCAACTTCTTCAATCTCTTTGATTATTCTGTTCATGAAATCCGTTTCCGATTAAGACCCAAGCGAATAGATTTCAGAAAGATAGAAAGAAAGAGTGAAATTCAATCATTTTTCTACCGTTTTCTTAAAAAATGCATTTAAGAAAGAGTAAAAAATAAAAAAGAAAATATCAGATATTACATTATATAACTCTCTTTTCACTGCTTATTGAAGGAAGAGGTAAAAGATATGACTCGAATTTCACTTCCTATTCAATGGATAAAAATAATAATCAATAAAATTTAAGTTATATTTCTAAGTAAATATAATAATAAAGTTTAATTTACTCTCAAATTTGGTGTGAAAATTATTATTTTATTTTATTAATAATACCAAATAACTTCATAAGTTTGTAAAGAATTCGTGAAATTTAATTTTAAATTCAGTTAAATTTATTTTAAAAATTTTATCAAAATATTTATATTCTTGTATTTTACAATAAATAGTTTGATTTATTTGAGTTTTTTATGAAATCCTCAGAATTTTTATGTTTCTTATCTCATAAATTTTTCCATTTTGATTAACTTGTCATATAATTTTCTTTGATAGTATCTGAAGGACAGCATTTAAATCTATTATTCTTATTTTTGATTTCAAATTCTATTATAAAATATTAATTAATTCCTGAATAAAAAAACATTTTAAAATAAAATTTGACGATAATATTCCATAATATTTACAGGGCGTCCCAAAAGTCAGTTAACCGTTTATATTCCAAGTATACTTGCGAATACGAATCATAAACTCTGTTAAAAACTTTATTTCTACGAAATTGATAAAAAAAATTAATTTAAGTACTTGAATAAGACAGTAATCAATTATTTATAATGGTTAACTAACTTTTGGACCACATCGTCTATTTTTATTTAGTTTATTTTCATGTTTTTGTTTATACGTATAAACGAAACGTGTTTATTTAATTAATACATTCGTTTGTGTCATGAATATTTAAAAGTATTTATAATAATTACAACTGTTAGAAATGAAATTATTAGAATTTATTAAGGAGTAAAATCAAACTTTTTGAATTTAAATATTTACTAATCAATTTTATTGTGTCGTTAATATAAACACCCGAATTTTCATACGAAATCTAAAAATCATTGATTTAGTTGCTAACATTATTCGTAATAAGGTCTTCGTCTCAAATACAGAGAAATTTAACAGATTCGATCAGTTAGACATAATCAATTATTACGTCAATTTGTATATATTTTGAAATTACCCAATCAAAGAAAGGGATTATATTTATTTTTAAAAGCTTGCTTTATATAAGAACGACTAAAAATTCATCCGATGTTTTTCTTTTAGATTCAGCTCAACGATAAATCAATGAATCCAATGCTATATATACACCTTATTATCACATTAATAACATATAACGAATATTGATTGCATCTTATATATATGTAAATATATATGTATATTATTATACTCATCATGTGAAGTCTTTAATCATTTGATATTTTCAATATATACTTGTTTATTATCTCGAAACTGATGTAATCCATTATTAATGTTCTATAAATTTATAACAGTATTAATATTTAATTCTCAATAAATTAATGTAAATCTCTTATTCAAAATCCCTAGACTGAACTAGAAATTAATATTAATATTTCAAATTTAATGTTGAGCATTTCACTGTAATTATTGTAAATACTTGTTTAATACTAAGTCTATGTAATTTTATTTCCAATTGTCATTGTTTTTTTTAATACAAAGGTAAAATTACCCCAAATTTAACAAGAGAAATTGTTCTGATGAACTTTTTAAACGTTTAACTTGGAATTTGATGTTAATTATAAATTTCTACTGCATTAACTAATTGGCCATGCCACTTGACGCGAATTTTAACGTTGACGTGAACCGTTAACGCAGTATCACCATTAACGAAGTTAATAGGTGATGGTGCAGCATCAGCATCAAGCTAATGCTGTTGTTTTATTAATGAGAATATAATAATTGAATGGTTGAGAACCAGAGTGGTTCATGTCGCAATATGAAATATTATATGAAAGTTTGCTGTTATGCATCATTAGAAATGACAGTAATTCAAGAGATACCACTATTAAAAAATAGATGCTATAATTTCAAATAATTGTAGATGCTACATTAGAAATAGTTGCATTATTAATACATTTCACAATATTCAGTTCCATTAGTTGAATACAATAGTTGAATCATCATTATTATCGCCATCATCACGAAGGCTGCAAAGTTGTTAATGATGATTCAATCGCTGCATTCTCATTGACAAAACAAATAGATTATCATTCTTAACATCAATCAATGTTATTCATTATCAACAAGACTGATACTGTATCGTCATCATTAACACGACTGATTATGATTAACGTTGAGTAATGAAAATAGTAATGTATATATTTTGTTATGGAGAATGCAAGAATCAAATCATTAGTAACAATCTCACAGCTTCAATAATGGTAATGAAAACGATGAGGAAGCTATGATATGAATCGAACAGCTGTGTCATAAGTATATGCTATTGATGCAAGTATTCATAATGTAGCATCTATGTATTAGAACATTATCATAATAGCAATTAATCAATTGATGTGCTACATAATATTTTGTATTTTAAGGGAAAACAATGCGCTTTTTTATAAAATAAAAAATTAAATATTTTTGTTGCATTTTACACAATAATTTTTACAGTTATTTCTCTTAATTGTAATTTAATATTTTACTTAAAAAATTATTTTTTTAAATAAGAATTTGGAATTTATTGTTTTAGTATAAAAACATTTACTTATATTATTTAAATCCTAATTTTCCTTTGCATTTCTTTTCTTTTATTATTAATATAGTTTGCTATAATTAAAATAAGTAAATAAAAATATATTTTGATATTTAATAAATTCTTATAAACTTATATAATATAACAATCGTTTAATATTTTTCTTAAATTTTATCACGTCATTATTCAAATATAAATTTATTATTTATTTTATAATTTAATCTTGTATATTAATTTACTTGATAAACTTATATTTGATCTTCCATCTTTTAATAATTAATTACTTACAATAAAATCATTTCTAATAATAATTTCAGTGTTACTACTTTCGCTTTTCAAAATAGAAATAATTTTTGTACTTAAATGTTTATAATTACTGTAATTATATTTTTTAAAACATTTTTATAAAAAGTAACTTAGCTAATTCAATACTTTTCAACCTGTAGTATACGAACTCCAAATAAAATTATGAAGGAAACAATTATAGAAAGAGCCAAATAAATTTTTTAAAAATAATAAAATGATAATTTTTTAGTAAGTTTTGAATTAAATTTTTGTTTTCTATCAAAATAAACTGTATTAATAAAAATACAGTTTATTTTGATAGAAAAATTAATAAAAATATTTTTTACACGTTTTATACGTATTAGAGATATTAAAATCGAACTTTTGCACGTTAAAAAGCGTTCAAAATTATTAGTTTTTTAAATGTCAATTAGTTACTAGATATTATTAAAAAATTGAAATAATTAATAAGATCACAATAGTAAGAAAATATATTAAAAAATATTTTTATACAGATTTTACAGTGCAAAGTGCAAATAAATTTTGATTAGTTTATCATTACATAGAAAAAGCCTTAATTCTAAACCTTATAATAAGGGAAAAAATAATATTTCTATCAAGCATGTAAAAACTCTACACTATAATATATAAGAGGGCTTTCTCTTCCAAAAAATAATAAATTTTAAAACGTAAAGTTGGGTTAACTTCTGTTTAAATCCGGAACTGATTGATAAGAAATATTCTTATTAATTGCTCTTGGCTAATTTTTTCTTGGTAAAAATACTCTTAGTTAAAATCCTTTTGCTCTTGGCAATGCTCTATACATTGCAAAGAAAATTTGATTAGCTTATCATTTTACAGAAAAACTTGAATTCTAAACCCGCCCAAAAAAAGGAAAAAAAAGCAAAAAATAACATTTTTGTCAAGTGATAAGAGTATTGGGAATTGCTAAAAACCAGAAAGAAAATGATCCATTTATTTTTTATCTACCTCCTTACAAAAATAAAATATATAAAATATCCACAATAGAAATTTAAAATATATATTTTATAAATTAAAAAAAAATTAAACTTTTGTTAAATCTTTAAATTATCCAGAATGTAATTTCCGAGTTAAGTAAAATATTTACAAATGTTAAGGAGAATTTAAGCTTATAAATATTTTAGAACGTAGAACTATTTTAGATTTCTTTACTTTCTGCTTAACTACTTTCATCTATCTTGTGCATATAAACTGCAATTTTCTTTAATTTTTAACGAAAATTTCTAATAATTTTTAGTGATGAATATAAAAAATTAAAATTGAGATAAAATATTTTATAGCATCTTCTTTAAATTAATAGTTGTAATATGATGAATAACATAAAAGAGAAAGAGTAAGTATGAAAATAATGAATAATATATATACTATTTTTGAAAAAATGAAAATAATATTTATTTATTATTTTTATTCTTAGAAATTTTATTAAATTCATATAAATTTAATATATCTAGTGAATTTTATAAATATATCTTGAGAGATTGAAGAGACGACATCTTAAGCTACGTAATATACAATACATCAAATATATATACACACATATTTTAAAGGTTACTTGACGTAATAAGTATTTCTCTAGATTTATATTACGTCAATCAAACACTATACAAACAGGCAAATGTATATCCACGTAGATACAAGACCTAAGGAAAATGAGATAGGGCCAGATTAATCAAATTTACGGAGCGTAGACTCAACTGAAAGACAAAAATGTATGAATAAAATCAATAACAGATTTTTTTTTTATCAAAGAAGCTAATTTACAACATTTTAGTGTCATTTTATTTACCACAAAAGATTAAATTTTGGAGACTATGTCTGTGGTCAAGCAGAACTCTTGACTCAGAGGACAACAAACATAACTTAGATAGAAAGGACATTCTAATCTGTGTGAATACCCATATATAGCTGTTAAAAAGCGTTCTGCTGGACCTCTTTTATCTAAACCCACAAGCACACACACAAATATATATATTACGTACTGTACATGACGTTTAATATAAATTTTTACAAAAATTGAGTAAAAAATATAGTTTTACTGTAAAACTAAAACATTTTTGGTTTTAAATTATTTATTAATGTTTATATGAAAGTATGTATGAAGTATACAGTATATATATTACATACCAAAAATGCATTTTTCGAAGAAAATATGCGCACTTTAAAATGTTATTCGACAATTTCGATTATTACAAATACTAATTTTAACCAATTACTTTAATGATATAAACTAGTATTTTATCAAAAAACTTATATAAAAATATAATATAATCTAAAAAATAAATCATTAATATATATTTATATATTTTTTATTATTTAAATTGCATAAAATTCTTATTTCTTAGAGGATATATCCATCATCTCAATTCGATTGTATGAACACTCAATTTCCAAGAGTAGCAGCAGCAAAATATTATTTCCTAATTGAAAATCTATTAAAATAACCTTCAGAACTAATTTCAACAATATCTAGAATAATATTAAAGTTATTTGCTTAAATTTCTCAGAAATAAATACAGAAATCGCATCACTTTATATGCTACATTATCGCGTAAATTCATCGAAATAGCGCAACATTTAATAGAATTCTCCCTTTGTTCAAATTATTCTTGGCATTTACAGCTTAATAATTCCAAACAATTTGTAATTATTTTGTCATTTTACAAAACTTAATTAAAATTCCTTCATTTAATTAATAATTAAGAGAATATAGACAATTATTCTAAATTACAGTACATAATCTTTAAAATATGAAATGAATTTGTATTGTTACAATAATATATACTTTTATTAAGTCAATTCGACATAAATTTTGCATTTTTATAATGAGAAAGTGATGTAAATACTGAATTGCTTCAAGTTGACGTAAATGTGTATAATATTCTAATAAAACGAACATGCTATGTTATGATAAATTTTTAATAAAAATATATTTTTTATTAATGTTTTAAAAATATTTAATTATTCATTTAGTAAATATACGTACCTGGAACGATCCTGTAAATTTTGGATCTTCATTTGCATCATTTTCGACTTTAGATGGTTCCACAACGATCATAAATCCTGTAAACTTCTGTACACTGTATTGAGTTCTATAACCTTGAAGACTGACTAAAAACATAGTAAAAAATTTAAGTTATTTGTAGGTATTAAATAAAATTTGTTAAAATAAAGTTCTTGATAAATATATATATATACTAAATTATAATTA